CACCGGCTCTGTTGTGTTGGTTCTGTCCAACTTGCTGATAGACATCCGGCGTCACAAAAGGAGGCAATCTCAGACCAACATGGAGCCATTGTTGTCCCTAATAGAATGGACTTGGAGGTGAAGAGCGGCTATTGATTCAGCTGACTGGGAGAGAAGAGAGGAGGAGAAAAGGGGACAAACAAAGGAGGAGAGAATGGGAGGCTGTTGACACCTTGTTCAGAAAGAGGGACGCCGGCGTTCCTGTTTATGTGGTGTGTGTCCACAGAGCAGTTTCACTTGCTCTTTTTTTTGTGTGAATTGAGGGACAGATCGCAGGACAAGAGGAAAATGTATGAATAATAAACAAGTTGGTGTCGATTTCCTTGTGTTGCCTCAGCTTATCAAAGATCGGACTTGTTAGAGTTGACAAGGAGAGGAAGTGAGAACAAGAAAAATGGGAGTAAAAGTGGAAGGAATTGGAAAACATGACAAAAGCCTCAAAGGGAAAACAAGTAACCGGTAGGTCGGTATGACAAAAATTCTTGAGGCTAAGAAGCTGAGAAGAAAGAAATTACCAGAAAATGGCAGAAATATGACAGGGAAAAATTGTGTTTTATTCTCACTACAGCAGGAAAAAATAAATCGAACCAAATAACTATCAGTGGACTAAAGTCAGCTGAGATTTGATCATATCTGTTCATAGGACAACACTGAAGGTCTGATGTAATCTAAAGTTCTGCTTATATGATGCCATAAATTAGCTCTTTGCTCAACATCTCACACTCAGGCATTAATGTCCAAATGGTAGTAACAAAATCAATAAAACCCCTATGTAAAAAATATTCCAACTAATAAACATTTACATCCGTGTTACAACCCAGAATGACTTTGCTCAAATCAGCCTTCATCCATCTGGCTGATTAACCCTTCGCTAAGAGCTTAATCCACCAAGATTTGAGTTAAGCGTTTGGATTTAGTCTTAATCTCAGTTACTAAAGGTTGTTCATTCCTCTGCTTGTCCGCATTGCAACATGATCAACATTGAAGATGAGAGGATAAGGCTGATTCATACAGCTGCTGGCCTTGGGCAGCAATGTCATGTTGTTGATGTTGAGAAAAGGCAACAAACCTAAGGCTGGTCTCTTGGGAAATTGTTGATATTTGGTACCTGCTGATGGAGTAACTGGTTGTATCCCAGTGATATTAAAGGTTTTAACTGGAGTTGTGAAAATAAAATAAGCCTTAACTAGTCATCCTTCTCACTACCACCTTCTTGACATCTCGCTTATAACGGTAGTATAACCTTTTAATATACATTTGCACCATTTCAAAAGTTTTTTTTGTTTCTGGTGTCAAAATGTTTTGTCACATGGGGCAAAATGTCAAGTCAAAACTAGCTCAAGAGCTAAAACATGTACTTCTCCAAAGGAAAAACAATATTGTGATTTTTTTAAAAATGTATTTATACATTTTTTTGCCCCACAAAAGATGACACATGTAGCATATTAATTTGACAAAAATTTCAATTCAATTTATGTAAGAAAACTGTATATTATAGCAGAGCGCCAGAAGGATTGACATTAGTCAAAGCATTGAGATGTTGGCGAAAAAGATCGATTATGTTTAGCTGAGAAACTTTTAGAGCTAATTTCCGCCTGGTAAATAAATACAACAAATGATATCAAGATTGACTGTATCAGGTATCAATTCAGACGTTTGGGAACTGTTTAATGATAATAAAAGCACTTTAACTGTAGTTTAACCTCTTAAAACCTTACCAGCAACCTATTTTAAATAATTTACAACCAATAACTCAGAATGCATGAAAATTACACTGTTAAAATGTTTACCAATATAGACATGTTAGACATCGTTGAAAAGCTTAGATTCTCCACAATTTAACCACCTAGTTCATTTTATGGACTTGGCGAGCACCAAAGCTCAATTAACAGAGATATAGCAGCATGTTAGAATGTACCATGACCAAGCAGCCACAACAACTAAGCATGTCTTTATAATTGCTGTTCAAAAAAGACCTATTATTCTCGAGAACAAAAAAACAACATCTTTGAGTCATGTTTGAACTGATGCAGCTTGGGTGTTTTACTCACCCAATTTTCATGTATATATTCAGAAAATAGAAGGTGTTAGCTTTCAAATATTGCATCACACATATAATTTGGGCTTACAGTTCCTTAATTATTTGCTTTTCCATTTGGGTATGCAAATAGGCGAGAATTTCCCAAAATGAGGTGGATGTTAAGAGGTTAAGAAGCATTGCAGAGTTACTATGCCTGATTTATTTGTGAAAAATCAAAGCTAATGTTAATTTTATTAACCCCCTGCAGTACCTCTGTGACCCACCAGAGGACTGCAAGCGTCAAGTTAAAGACTTCTGATCTGATGGAAAATAAAACTCTTCCATTTGCATCAATAACCTGTACTGGAGAAGCTAATCATTCTTAAATTGCTGTTAAGAGGCTGCACAGAATTGATACAGGGGCCACAAATTGGCCCCTGGCCGTTCTAATGCAACAGAGTGGTAGAAGGTGATGGACACTGTTCCCTTGTTTTACTGTATTCATCCAATCAGAAAAGGCTCATCGTCCAGCTCCTCCTGTCCTGCCACCGTGCTTTTTCCGATTTACATTGATGCTCCAAGGAGGCGTATCGCAGTTTAAGAGGCGATGTGAGAAAAGGCCTGAAGGAACTGAGAGGGAGAGAAAGACAGTTGATTAAAGGCAGCAGCTTCAATAATGCAAATGTAATTACTTGCACTGGCCCTCTCACTTGCTTAGCTCCTAACTGCATTACGGCGGAGTGGTAGGAAAAAGAGAAAGCCAAGGAGGCTCAGGGGCAGAATATGGAGGTGGCGAACAAATGTAAATGAACAAGAGACAAAGTGGAGTTAAAAGGTATTTTAGATAGAGGAACGAGAGGAATTGTGAAACTTAATGACTTGAGGATGGGATTATGGGGGGAAACTCAAACAAGAAATCAAGCTAATGGATAAACGCTGAGTGAGGCAAGTGTTTTGTGAGAATTGTAAGAGAAAGATAAATGACCCGTCATGGTATTGAAAATGGGAGAGCTTAAGCTGCATGTCGCCATAGCTACTCGCATTCCTGGGGTTCAAGACATCAGCTCTGCTTTGGAATACATTCGAAGACATGAAAATCTGCACTTGTGACGGATCCTTTCTACCCATATTACTAATGAAAGAGGATAGCAGATGAGAGACGAAGACTTGTTGTGACCAGAGATGTTCAGAAGAGGAAGGTTTTAATTTCATTCACTTACCTTCAGAGTAAATAAACAGTATTACAGTAGAACTTTGAGTAAAAATACTGAAGTTTGTGAAATTAACCAAAAACAAAAACATTCTTTAACTTCAATAAAAAATGTATTCTGTTGCTTTAAATTATTTTTTTTAATTATTATTACACTGTTGTCTAGTTAGGCTAGAGATGACAATCCAATCTTTTGTTAGGACAAAAGGAAATAAATGGTGTGAAAGGATCCTGTTTAGTAATGCTACATTTAATGCTAAATTTACATTCAGTTCTGCTGCTAATAAAGAGCACAGGTTTAATAGGCTGATATTAGCTTGGTTCTCTGCTCCTGTAGCACATATGGTCCACATAGCAGGATGATGGTTACATTTTTTTAGTGTTGGGTCATTTCTCTTTAGTTAGAGCACCATTACCCTCCAAGATTGTACTTCTTAAAAGTTAATCAGAAGGTAGAATTTGTCTTCCTTGTAGGGATGAGGGAAGGTTTGGTACATTTCTTCCCGCTTCTGACCAGCAGGTAGGTTTAACCCCGGCCTTATGTGGAAGACATGCTGCATTATCTTCTAGGATCTTGTTGGCTTTAAAGCAGCTGGAGCTGCTGTTTGCTTTCCTTCTTTTCCCCTCCTTTAGCAAAAGATTTCTGCTGCAACTCGCCTTCTCCTCCTCAACTTCAATCTCAATCTCTCCGCTCTTTTCCTCCACCTGCGGGGTCGTTTGCCTCATCAGCTGTTCTCCAGCCACGCCGAAAAATGACCCCTCAAGGAAACGTAATCCTCATCATGTTGGTGTGTTTCGAGCACACTTGCACACACTTAAATGCCTACGTGCTGATCCCACACGGATTGTATTCTGCAAGCTCAACTGTCTGACTTTGCCGACTGCTGTGATTATGATCAGGCTTATTATACTCATATTTTTTTTTTTTAAAGGAAAGGTTAGTCTCAAAATGGAGTTTTGACTCATTTTTTTTTTTTTTTGATGAGGACCAGCAAAATTTAAAGCACTGCCATCAATTGTTCAAGTTCTCCTTGGACATAAGTAGGTCCTCACGGTGAGCTGCTGGATGGGATCTAAGTGGACTGGGAATGAGAATCCTCGCCATTTGAAACAAATAGCAATTTCTCATAGAGTCATAATCATCCTTTTGCTTTCTGCAAAAGATTTATGTTTGTTTTGCCTTGCCATTTTTATTGAGCTTTCTTTTTTATTTTATTTATTTTTTTATTTACACTCTCAGAAGATTCCTCTGACTTTATGTGAGATGTGAAATTGTCTCCTAAAACACGTTTGACATCTGTAATAGCTTCTGAACTTGTGAGGATGTATTGTTAAACCGAATCTTCGGTTGTTTTGGTGTTTGCTGTAAAACACTGACCCTGGGGCCAAGTGGCTGCAGAACATCACTCTCAAACGATGATGTTAGCTTCCTACCAAATAGCATCAGTTTTACAGCGTGTTGGACAAATTCCAAACGCAAGATGACATAATAAAATAAAAATGGTGTCATTCATTTTGTTTTTGTCCTCATCTGTTTGACCCAATATGGAAGATAATTTTTCCCACCTGGTTCTTGATATGGGATGTTACTGAAAATGGATGCATTTTAGAGAAAAGCAAGAAAAGTTATAGAAGGCATAACCACAAAGAATAAAAGAAAACGCTAAGAAGACATTCCACTATTCTAGATAAAAGCTTGCATTGACTGTCTGATTTCTGTCTTCTCTTCAGGACAACTATACGTTTGCTCAGCCAGGCATTCAGAGGAAAGTCAAGGCCCTGGAGGAGCTGGTCAGCAGGATTGATGGTGAGTCATCTGCCTGCCTTCCTTTCATCCATCCCCCCACCCGACTATAAACGTCTTTTTGTTAACAATGCTTCCATTTTGACTTGAATTCAACTTTCTGTTTTATAGCTTTCTTGTTGCTTTTTGTCTGTTATCCTTTATCATCCACCTGTTCCCTGTGTTTTCATGTTTCTGATACAGATAAGACACAAAAACACATGGCGAAACATTAGCAGGACATGAATCTTTTTTTATCTGCAATTATTTCTTGTATTTTTACGTTTCAAAGTCACCTACAGGCAAATATAGGACAGTTTAATACCTTTTTCACCACTGGGTAATAATTTGTTATGAAACATACCTATTTTCTTCCAACATTGAAGAAAAACACTTGCCTCTTCCCATCTCTGTTACGTTCATTTCAAGACGTTGTCGTATCACAGTACTTCTGAAAGCCGAACAAAGTCTGATACTTCTCGCAGCCAAAAACAAAAAAAAAGTTTTTCAGGACTTAGCTAAAAAAGGATTGCTCCTCTGTGCAGATTAGCTGCTAAAAGGGTATTTTTGTCTCAAAATTGCCTGAATCCTGAAGGCTTTACCTAGCATCCCCTCTTCCTGATGGGTGAAAATGGGTGTTTTTTTTGTTTTTTATACCATGTGGATGCAACACTGTCAAAGTAGGTGCTTTCTTGTGGGGAAAATCGTACATTTTCTTCCAAGCACTGGATTTTACGGGACAAAGTAGGGCTGCTGACCGGACAGCAGAACTAATGAGAATTAATCAGAGATACAGGAATCAAGACTCACTTTGCCTGTATAATGAAGAAATAGCTTTATAATGTAGTTAAAAACAAAAAAAAAAGAAAAGTTTTGATTATTCGTGATAAATACCCTTTAACTGATATTGAGCTCTTAAAAATAAGAAAAAAATTAACATTAAAAATACCCATGATATACAAATAAATTATCTTAAAAATTTTTCCAAACACACAAATCAGCAATTTGCTGCTTAAATTTATACAATAATTTTCTATAAAGAAGAAACTTCACATTATATTTGAAAAACAAATGACAAGACACTTTTAATGACTCCTTTTCTCATTTAAAATAGGTTGAATGCCTAAACCCCAATAAATTCAAATTTTTTTATGATGTAGGGAAAAAAAAGTTCTGATCCTAAAGGAAAAAAAAAACATCTTCTAAAAAGTATAAAAAGCATTTCTTTTAAGTATGAACACCCTTAAGAAAATACTTTGTTTAAGCAGCATTTTAGACCATTTCAGCACTCAGGCTCTCTCTTTTTTGTGTTTTAAACCTCTATTGGCAACAACAAGACTTTGATTAGGCTCTGTTGAAACCCCTATTTTCTGTTTATCACTGAAATGTCCTTTTTTATAATTTCACCCACCTCAACCAAAAAGAAAAAAGTTTCTGTCTGAATGAAATCCCTGGAGCATGACATTGCCACAGCCATGTTTCAGTGTTACCACTTTGTGGGTATTTAGTGTTGTTTCTGTGGTCAAAATAAGTTTTTCTTTTTATAGATTTTAGCAACCTCTTCTTATTGATTCTTTTGAACTTCTCCCTGTGGTTTGAAAAAAAAAAAAAAAATCAACAGTTCAGTATAAAAATAATAAAAAGATGTTTTTGTCAGGTTGATCAGGTTTACTTTAATTGAGTGTGAAGCCAAGCAGACAGAAATTTAAATCAGAGTTAAATTGGGCCTCAATGAAAAACAGTTTCAGATTCTATTTTCTAGTATTAGTGCTCTCTTTTTCAAATGCAATTTTAGTGAACCACCTAAAAGTTTTGTATTTATAGTAATAGTGCAATTTAATAACGGTTTCGTGCATTCAAACCAGTGATTTTTTTTCCTTCTCCCTTTGTTACGCTTCTACCTTTGATGGCTTTAAGCTGGTTTTAATGACATGACTAATATCGCATCCAGCTTATCTGCATTCCACTCAGCTGTGTGGATAATAGTGCATGCCTGTGAATAAAAGTGCAAAGACGAGGCCGGCTTGGGGCTTAGAAGATAATTTATGCAAACTGGACTCAACCACAGTTTAATGACATTTCACACCCATGGTTAAAATTCTGTGTTAATTACCAAAGCTGCTCTTTTTTCTCTTTTTTTTTTTTATTCCCAGAAGAAATAAAAAAAAAAGCTTTGTCACCTCACACTCACAAGGCACATATGCAGCCGTACATGATGCATTGTGCAAAACATGGACCTATTACAGCAAGCTTCTGTCGAGTGGTCATGTTCTCTGCAGAGTGCGATGCTGTCCCGCTCTCCTGTCACCCGCTCTGTCAGCCAGAGGGCGAGGAGGACTCAAGCGCTGCATTTAAATGGAAGCAGGAGAAAGCGTGCGTGCATGTGCAGGAGTATGAATGCCTGTAAAAGTTAGTGGCTGTCAGTGCGGTTTCACGAAAAGCAACCTTGGACATTTTTCTGCAGATATCCTCCGTAGGAGCTGGATGTCCAGATCAGCCTGAGCCGACATGTGGACTGTATAATCACGGAGAGCAGGTTATCACCTCCAGAGTTCAGTCAGTGATTTTACTTTAATTTGAAGCCGTTTCCTTCATGAGGAAATGAAAAAATAATAACTAGACAGAAGCAGTTGGTTTAAATACTTCTCCAATGCATTTTAGATGGTGTTGATACAAAACCAGCGTTAATATTTAGAGGATGGTCATCCTTCATAAGAAATGACAACAGTTTCCCTGCATCTCCTCAATAAGTGCCCTGTCATCATAGCTGGTGCAGAGACATTTCATACCCTGCTAGCTTGACATTACCAGCTCTAATGAGATCACAGATACCTCTTATCTTGTGTTACAGGATTGTTTTTCGCCCCGCTGTCGACATAGCATCTGTTCTGGGAACAATAGCCTCTCATCTGCTCCAAAATTACCTATCAGCACTTATCAGATGCAGGGTTATCCGCGCTGTTGTTGGTTTTCAATAGAAGGTGGGGCTCTATCTCCTCACAGCTGGAGAAACGTCCATTGTTTACCGTCAGTCCAAAACTCAACATTAGAGACTAAACTTTATTTTTTTATTACTATTTAATCTTTTTTTTTTTTTTTTTTTGCACTTCTGATGAGGAAATTCTTATTTTTCATGTTTTTTTTTTCTCATTTCTGAGTCCCAGATTCATTTTACCTTTGAGATCAAGTTTCTAACCAGCTGTAGCTGCTACTGTTTGATAGATAAAACTGTGAGACTGTATAAGTCAATTAAAGAGATGAACTTCACAGAGAGAAGAACTCGAGTTGGGTCCTTATTGCAATATTGGTAGTGGATATTATTCAAATGAAACAAGAGCACTCTTGATCTTATCACACCCCCTACTTCATCAGCTGCTGCTTTATGAACATGAAGGTGTTCTCTTTTGATATCTGCCCAATCTATAGACAACATTTCTTTGTGGAAATTATACCTGCAGAAAAAATAGCAGAAAATAGCAGATTTTTTTTGTCTAAACCCCTTATGTATGTGGAACAGACCATCAAAGAAAGTCAATAAACCTGCTGAACTTGCCAGGTATGGGCTGGTATGAAATTCCCCAAATATGATGCAAACGATCAAAGTTAACATTTTGGTTTCAAAGTATGGGATATATATTTTTTATTTCTCAGTCGAGATTTGTTTGATCTTATTCAAAGGAAACAAACATTTATGTTTTTTAATAGTTTTCAATCAACTTTACAGCAGGCAAAATTAATGGATGCCTCTTTATAAATTGTATACCCTTTTTAAAAATCTTTTTAATGACTCTGCAAGCAGTGTGCAGTGAAGGTTGTGGTAAGGGGGCGCTATTGTGGCTTTTCACATATTCTACAAAGTTTTGTTAAGAAGTATGAATATTAGTGTTTTTGAAATAGTTAAAAAGAACCTGCATGGATCCTTGAAAATGGCAGATTCTTACTAGAAAAACGTATTTTTCTTTAATCCATTTTTTGTTGTTGAGAAAAACGCTGCAGCATTCCTTTGACCGAGGCCTTTTCTCTTCTCTTCCCTCGGATTCTTACATTTGGTTGCTTTATAATCTCTCTCTTTTCTCTGTTCCCGTCCGTCAGACTACCCCTCTGTGTAATTATCTACTTCTGCTAATAACTCTAACTCCCATTAGCCTTGCTTGACGCCGGCGAAACACACCGCCTCAAAAGACAACAACTATTTTGTCGGCATGTAACGTCTCTCTGATCTCTTTATCTCTCTTTTATCTCCGTCTCTGTTTGTTGCATGCTAGTGCATAAGTACAAGTTCATCTACATGCAAATTGCCCCAAGGTGAAGCTATCTATGCTAATGAAAGCGTGCATCTGCTGCACACTCACTGATCCGGGATCTAAGTTTAGGTTGCAACCATTGTATTAAAGGAAAGCTTTCTGTATGTTTCTGCATCTGATCAGGTTAATTAACCTTTCTGTATCATTAGAAGATGGTGGTATTGACCACGTAGGTTTTGTACCTGACTTTTAATATGTGTATAAATCTATTTGTAGCTTGAGCAGAAGGTTTTCTTTTAATCCAGGCCCTTGCTTTAAAAGCTCCACGCTGAGGTCCGCTTCAGTGCCTCGCAACCTGACCCAAGGTCAGTTACACAATTTTTCCTTTGCTTCCCACACAGTCCTCCTCTGTCTTCAGGGATCATCCGCTGCTCAGCACGCTAGGTTGTACAAGTTCTCTGATATATTTCAACAGATCTGAAGACGTCTTAACTAAAGCCTTTTCAGTCTGTTATGTAAAGCATTTTGACAGGTTCTTTAACCGGTCCTGCCACATGTTTTGTTTGAAAAAAAGAACAAACTTTTACTAAGTCAGCATTTTTTAGAATCCATCCTGAAAGCAATAATTTTTTTTTTAGATAACTGTTTTTTATAAACCCAAAACACAGTGAAATGCTTCCAAATAAATCTTTGCCACAGTTGAAATACATATATTTGCCTGAAAGTTGCAGGTTTATTTTATTCTGCACTCTAAAAGCTTTAATTATAAACTGTCAGGCT